CAGAATTCTTTTAAACCACTATTCATAATGAAATGAAAATTATTTCAAACAGTTATCGATATGGCTTTTAAAATACAATTTCACAAAATTTTCGGTTGGTTCCTTTCTTCACGTTAGGGTCCAATTATGGTTTATGATAGGCATATTATTAATAATATAATATGCTATATTCATATTATTAAAAATTGATTATGATATTTCTTTTTTAATTGAAACATGTTTTTAATAATTATAATGGAATATTTTTTATCTTATGATTTTATCTTGAAATGCTATTTCTAGAAAAAAACTAATGTAGCTAAGTATTAATATTTTTTACAGTATGAGTAATAGACGGTCACTCTAATACGGAATCAGGAAGTAATCACTGCTTTAAGTGGATGAAATTTCTTGTTTGTTTTTTTTGTTTGTTTTTTATATCGAATATTATTTCTATAATATTCATGACCAACCTACAATTTTGTTTTGAAATTTTTGTTTTTAATACTGGCTAAAGTGTCCGGTGTTTTCCGGAGTATGAGTATATACCTTTTCTTTCTATACTGTTTATTATTTAGTAGCGTTTCAATCTCAACATCCTTGTAAAGCTTAGGAAAACGTGCTGCGATCCTTACAAAAAAGGGCTACTCAAGCATGTCTTTGAAAGGCTAATAGTTCTCTCTGATGACAACTTTCTCATTGTATCATGTCTCAGTGCTCCATTGAAAAGTTTATTTCATGTCTATCTACAAAAAAAAAAACTAAAAAAATAAATGTAGGCACATGTACTCAAACAAATTTAAACCAATACTTATTATAATAAAGTAATGTATTTTAGACCAAATGTGAATTTTAGACATGCAGGCTTACTTCATATTCTATCAATGAACTTTAAGTAAAATATGAACTTGCTATAAAGTTCGTCGATTTTAGAGCTGATTGGATGGGCCTCTTTCGAGGACTGTTGAAAATTAATTAACAGTTATAAGCAAAAGTACAAGACCAAGCATAAAATTATGCCGCCATAAAATGGTTTAAATTATCCGCAATAATAATCTAAACAAACATGCAGAACGGGAAGGATAGGTCCGACCCAAATGCTATTATGCAAACGAATTTTGGTCAGAGTGTACCCTGGAAGTCCAGTAACCCTATCACGTTTCATCCTCAGGTTTGGATCTGGAATTTATCAAAATAAAGTAAGTTTATTTAGAAAAAGAAAGTTACTATATACAAGAAATCTTTATTTAAATAAACATCAGAAAGAAAAAAGTAGTAATTCGTGTAGGTGTATGTTTTTAGTTGTGTGAGTCTGATCACAATGTAACCATCTTAATTTTCAAAATAATAGTTTTTATTATCTATTTTCCCCTCGTTGAGTTATTTTTCCTAGCGGAGCAGAACTTTTGTGAGGAAAAATAAAAAAATTAAAACGGTTTTTCAATCCCTTTCCCCGTAAAGAGGACAACATAAAGATCGAGTCGCTGAGAGAAAAGTTTTACCTTAGAGTTTATGTAGTGCAAAATATTTAATTACAAACTTCAAAGTTAATAAAGCCTTTCTTTATAATGCGACATTTTCTTTTTCGATTTTCTTACTCGACTTAAAGGAAAACAGCACAGAGTCCAATGGTGCAGAGAATGAACATGACTGTTCCATTACGTATGAATGTTCATATGGAACAACAATCTTAACGAATCAACTTAAAAAATATATATAATAATAAAACTCTTGAACCCAGAAGAACTGTGATAGATTACATTTATATCTTATATATGTTAGATTGACTTATAAAGAGACGTGGTATGGGTATTAAACTCAAGTATTGACAGAAGATGTATTTTCTGCTTAATATTCCTTGCAGAACTTCAAGGCCCATCCTCTTTAAATACTGGAGGCTCATAAATTCTTATTAAGCTACGTATTGTTTATTCATAAAAGATAATGAATATATCAGCAACAATATATCCAGGGCTAACAAAACGATTATACAATAACTCATTTTTTTTTCAATTCACTTACCAATTTAATTTATTTTTTAGATTTCTTTTTAGATTATTTTTGGTAATCATATGATATTGCTTACTATCGCAACTTTCTTGATAAAATGTTCGTGAAATTGCATATTCATTTTTACTCTTTGTCGTTGACAGGATAATTACGCAACCAAAAAAAAAAATTCATACCCGATTAGGGTATCCAGATTGCCAATGATAGTAAAAGGGAAAACGACATTTCCTGAACGACCCTAAAGTTATGCCTTTTTTAACTATTGCCATCCCACCTCCTAATTTGCACATTTAAGCTTTGTCGCAAAAAGGCTGCCATTCAAATGTTTAAGAACACCTCAACGTTTTGAGAAAATTCGGTATAAACAAAACTATTTTAAGATTATCTTTCTAATGAATATTGAATACAACAAAATTACATTAAATAATTTTAAAATAAGGAAATTAAAAAAAAATTATAATTATAATTTATTTTATTAAAAAGTCCTCTCTTAAATTTCAAAACATCTTTGAACAATTATGATATTATTTAAAAAGGTTTGCCTCATATAAATGGATAAAGGAAGTATTTGTTCATAATTGGTAAGTGGTTGACTGTCGTGGATAATGAAGAGAAGAATAGTTGGGGTGGTCAGTCAAAAAGGAAGGCAAAAATAAATGATAATATTTATTTTTACATATGCCGACGTTTCGTATATTTTCACGTATTTTTTCATTGTACTGAACCTTTTTATTAAACTCTTCTCATCGTATTGGCTTATGGAGATCGTACTATACTTCATCTCCTTTTAGTTGTGAGATTCACATAAAACGTTTATATAAATATTTCAAATCATTATCTTGCTGAATAATAAAACCATAACAAATCCAAAAGAAAAACGATGGTCCTTAAAAATATGTTTGACCTTATTGGTTAAGTATTTAAGAAATTCGTACAAACCGTTTTTGTGAATGATTCTTACACATGAAGTGATCCTCCTCCATACTTTAATGTTAAACACATACTGTTGTAGTTAATTGTTTCCAATAGTTGGGACGAACACCAGTCTCTCGATAAGAAACATCTGACATTTTTATTCGTTTACTCCAAAGTACTTCTATCTTGACTTACACTTTCAAATCCTTATGAGCTGGTTCGCACTGATAACCTTTCTCGTTAGTATGCCGTACGGAATGCAGGCCTCTTCGTTTAACTGTAGAACCGGATACATTTTTTGGTATAGATTTCAGTTCGAGGGTCTGTCTTCTACTTCTCTCGGTTTTTAAAATAATAACCTGTTTCTCTTAGGTAGATGTTATTTTAGTTCTTTTATTTCAAGTTGTATCATGGTTTCTTCGTTTTAGTGTTGATATTGTGCATACCACTTAATTCTTAAGTTTGCGGCAAGTCAATGATTTTACTCTTATCTTTTTATCCAAACAAGCCGTAAGTTCAAGATCACTCATAATATCCTGCTATCCAAACTCCAGAGCCTGCCCATATCAAATAACGTCCTAAAATTGTTCCTCTCCTTTTTATCCTATCGCTCCCAGAAAGTGGTTATTCCTTACAAATCTCCTTCTTCGTCTCTTTTATTATAACGAGGTGTTCCTCAGGACTCCTTACTCTCACCGACCCTTTTCTCCCTTTATATTAACGACCATCCAGACTCCATTCATGATTCCCACTATCACCTATATGCAGATGATTTCCTATTTTACCTATCGTTCCAACTTTCTGAGATGGCTGAGGCTACCAGAAAACTGCAAGATGATATGGACGGTATCCACAAGTGGGCATGAAAAAATGAAGCTGAACGCAGATAGAACGAAGATCTTCATCGGTTCTAGGCATCTCATTAGTTCCCTTCCTTTCTCTCCTCTACTTTACTTCAATAACCGTCCCATCCATTTCTTTCCGACAATCAAAAATCTCGGAGTAATCTTTGATCAGAAGCTCTCTTGGTATAACTACATCCCAGATTACACGTAAATCCATACAAATCCTTAAACAATTCCTACGATTCCGTGATTCTATTCCCGGAAAATACCAGACTGCTCCTTGTACATCCCTTGTTTTTCTCCACTTCGACTGCGGTTGCTTGGTGTATGGAGGATTGTCCACAAGAATGGAGATGAGACTGAAGAGACTTATGAATTGTTTCATAATATTTATTTTTGGAATTCCTAGGTGTTCCCATGTTTCCAGCTTGAACACTAAGTTGAAATGCTCTATCTTGCTTCCTGACGGCAGTTTCTTCTTGGTATTTTACTTTTTCAAGTCCTCAGAACCAAAATTCCTCCCTCTATTCTAGAACTCCTTACTCTACGTTCCCCTATCCACTCTCTTAATACCAGATCTCAACCTATAGATCTATTATACTCCCTCCCATAAAACTACTTCCTTCAGCAAATCATATAAGAAATTGTAGGCTATATACTACAGTTCCTCATCAGCAATGATACGAGCTATTTTATTTTTATTTAAGTATTTTTCTGTATATATTTATATTTTCCTTAGTGTTTTTCTATATATTTGTATTTTCCTTAGTGTTTTTCTATATTTTTTGTAAATATTTGTATTTTATTTAGTTTTTTTTTTTTTGTATATACCTGTATCATTTCTAAATGCCAGACTGGAGTACATATGTTTTGATCTCTGCTATTATTCCGAGAGGACTTCAGTCCCAGAATAAAATTATTTTTCATTCATTCATTCAGAAATAGTAGAATTGTACACGCTTAATTCTCTGTTTATTTGTACAGAGCAATTTTTGAATATAGAGATTTTTTTTAAATAAAATATAAAACATTCTTTTTCTGATATTTACTATAGTATGGTTGTGAAAAAAGTTTTTTTTTATAAAGTTGCCTAGGCAAGTTCCTTATTGTTTGTAACTCTACAGGATTAGTGTTTAGGACAAAAATAGCGGTTAGTTAATTACTAAAGTAGGTAGAGGGCTTAGCTAAGTTGGCGAAGCGCCGCTAGATGGTGGGACCGGAGCTCACTAGCGGCCAGTACCGCGGCGGCTCCTCTTCGAGACCAATCCCACCCCCTCTCATGGCCACCAACTCACGATGGCTTCATCTGTATTAGTAGTTCGGAATTGGCGTCGGATCTTTCTCGGCATCAAGTCCCTCAAGAGGCTACAGGCCGACGAGTTTGTTAAGGTAACTGTCCATTTGTGTTGTTGCCTCGCTGTACAGTAGGCACCCGTCGTATCATAATCCCATTTCTCCACATTTTCGTTTTATCCTGTAGTTTATTAGTTCCAGCTTGTGAATCGTCACTTGCCGGCAATGTGGATGGTGAGTTTCACTTTTATTGGCTAATAGAATAATAAGGCAATTGAAATCCTTTTGCTTCTTGCGAATACATTGCATATGCTTCGAAGAGATCTCAGATAGAACCGGAGGCTGCTTGTGTAGCATTGTATCCCTTATGAAAATGTCATGCTTTGAGCACAATCCGAGCATAGAAAATTAATCCATAGTTTGCCAAAATGCTTTGTTAACTCACAGTAGTCTCATGGTACATTTTGATTTTCACTGGTGTATAATCTTATCGCCAAATTTACGAAGGCACAACATTTAATGTAAACGTTCTTTTTTCTGTGTCTAAAATATAATAACTAATTTAAAAATGTATTGCAATGCAAAACTACAAAAACGTTATTAATTATTTTTCGAATTGTGATTTTCAAAATTGAGATTCAAGTTTCTTATGGTTTTCAAATCAACTTGTCACAAGACGACTGACTGCCTAATCAAATTTGAAAACAAATTATTACTAGTTTCACTGTTTGCTAATTGCTACAACAAATTTGACAAGATTTTAACAAAATCGCTGTCCTTAATATTGTAGTTTTAGTGAATCTTCAAAAATTAGCTTTGCTTTTAAATTGTATGCTATTGTTTTATACTATTTGAAACTACATAAAAATAATAAAAACCTAAAAACAACACACGAAACAAAATTGTATTTAAAATTAAATTAAGATAATTATATCTGTCACTTAATTCTTTTTATTTCCCGATTTCTTCAGAAACCTTAATGAGGAACTATATTTTATCAAAGCTCAAGAAACATACATTTTGCAATAACAAGAAATGAAATTTATGTTTTTACATTTTTTTAAAACTATATTAAAAAAATAAGATATTTAACATAAAAATGTTACATTCAAATACATGTGGAGATAATAATTATTTAGCATAATAATATATAAAGAAAAATTAGGAGGTTTGTATTTAAAATTATATAGAACTTTTGTTGAGCAGTTGATATGCACAACAGAATGTTTTCTTAATATTTTAAAATTGCTGTGTAAACATCAACAACAACATAATAAAAACTCTGTTTGGAAATCAAAAGAATACTTTTGAAATGCTATAAATTTTCGTTTACAATATCGCCTTGGCTAGGCAAAATGATTGGGAAAAATTCTACTGAACTGACATGAGATTAAACTCTGTCTAGTGAATGTTCAATTATAAAACTTCATGATCTAAGTTTATAAACAAGGTTTATTGGATACGTACGGTGTAAAAAATAATAAAATTACCAAGAGCTTTGTGGATAAAAATTAAATATTATTAAAAGGAATTCATAAAAGTTATTTTCAATTGTTTTGAAATTAATTTTGTATTATGCATAGTTTACTTTATTTCCTATATTTTAATCTAACTAACAGTTTAATTATTAATGTATATTTAGTAATTTTATTTTTATTAAAATATTAAAATTTTATTCACTGTTTGTTCGATAATTTATTGTATTTGTATATGATTTTATTTTTATAATAATTTAAAAAAATATTAAGGTGATATAACGCAACCGTGAATCAGTGTTCGTTGGTTAATAAAGTCCACTAGAAAAAAAAATAGAGGACTGTGTTCTTTAAAAATCTTATTTGGTTTTCTATTAAGGCCATGGGAATGGACTGCTGGTCCAGACTCCCATGGACTCTAATTTAGGGACCTCAGTGGTTGCCAGTGACCCATGTCCGTCAACCAGGGATGATTTAGATCTACAGAATCAAAGGTTCCTTTGTAATCAACCAATGCCTAATGGAGTATTCTTTTCCTCAGCTGTACATTATGGATACTCAAGAATTGAGAATATATATGTATTTATTCTTTAGAGAATCGTGAACAATGCTCAGAACTTTATTCCAATTTTATGCTTCTTGCAATAATGTAAAGTACTTTATGGCATAGCTGAGTCGATTTTCATGAAGAAAATCGCAATCATATAGTCTGTTTTTTTTTTTTTCTGATCCTCTATTTTTTTTCAACTATTACAATATATAAATACATACAATATTTGCAGTTATATCTTTATCAAGATTTTTACGTGCATTACTCAATGGGATTTTAAGGAAATAGGGTGGAAACTGATTTAAAAATTGTGGGGTCTTCTGGTGTTCCTCAAGAGAGCATTCTCGGTCCTATCCTTTTACAGTTTATACAACTGATATCCCAACCTATACCAACACGGTCATCACCACCTATGCAGATGACACTTGTATCCTATTTGTTAATAATGATCCTTGAATTGCACCCCAAACCCTCCAATAAAATATCACAAACCTTGAAGAATGGTGTCATAACTGGATAATTAAAAATAAATTCCAATAAATCCCATCAAATTACCTTTACCCTTCGTCGTAAACTTACAACTTCTTGTCCTAAAATATCTTGCAATGATATTCAACTTGTTCCTGTTGAACAAATCCGCTACCTAGGACTCCACTTGGATAAACGTCTCACTTGGAATCCGCATACTTGACTGAAACGACAAGAAACTGCTCAACCGACAAGAAACGACGTTTCCGACTGCTCCAACACTTACTGGACAAACACTTAAAACTTTCAATTAATTACAAAAGACCCATCTTTTGTAATTAACCATAATAAGACCTATATGGACATACGGAGTTGAGCATTGAGGCCCTACCAAACCATCGAATTCCTATCGTATCAAATCTTTACAATCCAAAATCCTTTGTAAACACCTTGATGTTTCATAAATTCTGGATTTTCCAAACGAGATACATTCCGAAATGTTTAACCCAGTATCATAAGAAATTAAAAAACAAATCAGTTTTCGTGGTTAAATTAAATTGAAATCATAGATTTTCAAGGACTTGCTGAGGTTTTTCATACCGAATAAAGAGGTAAATATCATTTATTTTCTCAGTCTCTCTCGATGTCATTTCGTTGAAATAGTGAGGTATGTGCCGATTTACTAAATATGAATTTAATAATAATAATTTTTTATAGTTTCACATGTATTTTATAAAGTTTAATAGAATGTATGGTCAATAGAAGTGAAGCATTAGTAGTAACCATGGAAATCGGAAGAAAAGAGCCGAAACTCGTTTCTGCCACATTAGGCGAATTGGTCCCTTTTATATTCCGGTTTAACGGATAAAATTTCGGTTATTCGCAGAGGAAAACGTTACAAACAACAACATGTGAACAATTTTTCTTATTTTAATTTTGTACGTAGTGTTTTTTTTGTTAACTAATTTTGTTGGAAAAATAGGTGTAAAACATTTTTAACATTAAGTGGCATCATTTTTTGTCACAAAGCCAAATTTCCGGCATTAAATCAAAACATTTTATTGTACCAAAATTTAAGACAACAACCTTAACATTTACTAATCTTTTCTAATTCGAATGGGACATTATGTGTGTGTGTGTGTGTGTGTTTGTATATGTGCGTGTTCAGATATTTAGGCTGTACCTGGAGGGGTCTCCCAACTTCACGTTGCTCACAAATCATGATGTCTCCATAATGCAGCGGCAGACGACCAATGGTTCGATAGCCGAACCCTTTGGGATTAATCTGGTAGTGTTCATTCCACCTACTCACTTGGGTTCAAGGACAGCAACTGACCGGTCTAGATTCATTAGAGCTACTCAGAGCCAGCTGACGCAATGGGAATTGTATTTCTTCCCCTGAAACAGAATGTCTGTACAATATAACAACATAAAAATATACCAGCTTAGGTCATCCTCCCAAGCTCAGTCGATGTCACCCGGCCGGTTGACAATGACGGTTCTCACATATCTGGGAGAAGAAGGAGCACATTTTTATTTAAATATTCCCTCTTATATTTTTAAATATTTAATTTCAGTCAGTGGATTTCCCGGTACAGTCGTTCGAACCAACAATCGTTGGGTTTGTAGGATAGTGTATTTTTGCATGCGCTTTAACTCGCTTGGCCACCCCGGCCATGTTACTGTATACATATACACACACACACTCCCATGGATTCTCGCCAATTTGGCAAGCCATAAAATTATCAGACTAAGAGTCTCATTCAAACTGCGGTTAAAAAGTAAATTCTGGCAAAAAAGTTAAGAGCTTATATGATGTCATGTAAGAGCTTTTCTCGAATATTCAAAAGTGTTGTCAAAATTTATCTCAAAGCTATATATCTCGAATTGTGTCAGATTTAACGATTTTACGAGATATCGTCTCTACATTGGATTGTATTTGATATTTTCTAAAGGTCTTAATTGTAGAATTGGTGATAAAAATTTTGTTCTAAATATTAATATTTAGTTCTACAAATTTATGGCGTAACGTTGCCAGGCTTCTTATAGAGTTTATTTGAGAAGCTTTTGATTTATTATGCGACCAAAGCAACTCTACTGTAATATTTTTAAATGATCATCGAGGCTATATTTATTCTCTTGATCTTATATAGATATAGGGAGTGGGGTAGCTCAGTGGTAGGGTACTGAGCTTCCAATGCTAAAGGTCCCAGGTTCGAACCCCGGCTCATGGCAGAAAATTTATTTATCTGTTTCATTGGCCGTGGGGTCAGGAGACCCTCCTGAGGCACACCCAGAATCTATAAAGTGGGTAAAGTGGGTAACCTTCATCAAATAATTGTTTAAGGGGGAAACCGATTGAGCGTGATCTCGGTCAAATCACCTCCTTGTACAACCTTGTTGATCTAGAAACAGTGCTTTCCGTAAATAACATTGAACCCAAGGCGGACATGTACAAGTCCCTTTCATGGGTTGTAGTGGTACAGGTTTCGTTCTTTATATATATATATATATACAGGATCAAGAGAATATATATATAGCCTTGATGATCATTCACAAACATTACAATAGAGTTGCTATATATATATATATATATATATATATATATATATATATATATATATATATATATATATATATATATATATATATATATATATATACAAACCATACTTGTTAACTCAATCGTTAAAGTTTTTTTTTATATGAGAGACTTGAATTATTTTCAGTGAATTTCCAGG